TGATTTAAGACATTTTAATACCAATTAAGTAATTTTATTTTGAAGAATTCAATGCCTTTTAAGACTTTTTAAGGACCCGCGGGAATCCTGTGTAAAAGTCCATGGATAAGCCGCGTTGTTATATAAAACGCAAGGTCGAAAAATGGGCAAAAAGTTGCGGCTAATAGTCCGAAAATTACGCTATCTTTGTTTGCAACAATAATGGACTAAAATGGACTCCATATATGGAGGTACCTGCAGCTCTTTTTCCAGCTCGGTGTTCCTCAGGGCAGCCAGGCTGTACGCTGAGCTTTTCTCCTGCAGCTGTTTCTCTAGTGCTGCAGCTCGAGCACTTTTCCTTTTTAACTGACATAAAACAAGAAAAGCAAATAAAAAACCAATTAAGGTCCCCATCCCTGCACTTGTTTCAGTGAAACAGAGCAGACAGCAGGAACAGGAGGCAGACAGGCACCTCTTTGTTAGCGTCTGTGGCTTGGTTGACTCGGTCCAGCAGCTCTGTGTGGAGGTTCTGGTAGTGCGACGCTCTCTGAGCCATCAGGGAGGAGATCTCCTCCTGGGCTCGGCTCAGGTGCTCCTGAAGCCGCTCGTTCAGGCTCTTGTGTTTCAGCCGCTCAGCCTCCTTCACCTGCAGAACCCGCAGCAGCTGCTGGTAGCCTTCGCCTGGCAGCCAGGAGAGAAGTGGAACCACCTTCAGCTTTTCCATCCAGATCTCTGAATTAGAGCTTTTTTAGCTTTGCAGTCTCCAGAAATCTTCTTTTATTAACTGATTCCTAATATTTAATGTTAACAGTTTACTTGTTCATGTGAATGATGTGATCCATCCATCCAATAAACAACTTATACAACTTGTAAAGAATGAGTCTGTTTCCTTTTAAACAAAAAATTAAAGCCTGGGTGAAAAAGTTATGACCAGTTTCACTGCTATTGCTTTTTTTTTGTGTGTTTTTACAGCATTTTACCTTTAAAAATGAATAAAAAACATAAATCTTTTACTGCAGTGAAATAATCTCAGTAACCGTTTTATAAGTCCAGCCTTATGCTTCCTTAAAGTCGTAGGGAAGCGGCTGTTCCAAATTCTTCCCAGTGGTGCCCGACTTTACACTAGTTAATAAAGTGAATATGATTGGTCGATTATCAAGGGGGCGGGATTGTTGTAGCGGAAGGTTCGCAAGAAAGTTTGATTGTGGCCGGTTTATCAGAAACATCTTGCTAACCAGTTAGCATTTTAGTGCTAGCAGGTTCCCAATGGGAAATTCCATTGGGACCAAGTAGCACTAAATTGGTGACTTAGAAACGACGCTGTCAAGGAACGCTATGGACAGCGGAAACATGCAAGAGGAGGAGAGTTTAGTGTCGGAGGTCGTGGATGAGTTTCCTCCGTCATCCATTTTTTATTTAGAGGAGGAAAGCG